ATTTCCGAATATCGGTAAAACCATGATAGGTGACCAAGCGCCCGGAGATCGGGTTGAACGCAACTAAACGTACAGTGCTGGGACACGAAATGTTCACAACAATTATGATTATTATTGTTCCGTCCCGCGTTCGATTATCGATCGGTGGATCTTTGATTTTGAATCGGACACACGATCGACGTGGGACGAAATTGCAATATTAAATCAATAAATTATTTAATTTCGAATTATTCGAAAAAACTGATACCTCACGCGAACCATAATACAATAATATATTACATATTAATTTCAGGATTTTTTCAAAAAATAAATATAGTATAATGTGCTCGTTTATGAGACCTAAATATCGTTCACAATTGATAAGAGCACGAAATAAAAGAGGTAAATCTAGAGAACGAGTACACATTATGCTACTTTACAAGTATACCGTGTATTGTCGAACATTCAAGGTTTGTCATGTGTCTTAAGCCAAGGTGTTAGAATGTGCGAATCATGTGAAAGACAATCTCTTTGGCTCACAATACAACATTTTTCGCTTAAAAACTTTTGAAGTACATCATTTATGTTTGATCCAGGGACTGAAACCCAACCGAAAAGACCGGTTTCGAACTAAAACCGTTTAAAAATATTGGAATCGAAACCTTAACCGAAATCCATAAAAACGTTTATGAAGAAACCAAAGCCGAAATATAAATGGTTTTACAGTTGTTTTTGGAAAATAAAACTGAAAATTATAATATTATTTTATATATCTAACTTCACTGACAACTACATATGACATGAAATTCTAAGTAATAAAACAGAAATTGAATATTAACAGATTTTATAGAGGCATCATATATAACGAATTAATAAATAGTAGAAATAAACAATAATAGAACTAATATAATATTGATTATTTTATTTGTATATTCTTTTCATCTAATTGTTATCTCATGTGACAATGACAATATGTTATAACATGAAATACATATGTCCACTTCCATAACACTGCTACATTTTATGAAACCATAAATTATGTCAAACCATAAAATTAAGCAAATTCCATAAGTCCCGAGACTTGATAATATGTCAATAATATTTCGAAATGTGATATAAAAGATGGTAGTGCTAAAAGACAATATAAAATGTGTTGTTAATTTAAGGAGTAAAAAATCACTTGTACTACTAAAAAAAAAAAAGAATAAAAAAAGACAAATAGTTTGGGTTAAAACCGGTTTTAATCGAAACCGATGTTTATTATTTATAAGAATCGAAACCCATACTAAAACCGAAATTTTTTTTCTGACCGGAACCGAAACCGAAACTGATAAAATCATAAAGGTTCCAGTCCCGGTTTGATCATCAAACATCTCATACTACCAAGTACGGTAACTTCAAAAACTACAAGTTTAAAAAAATTGTAGGCGTTTAACTGTTTAGAAAAAGCGCTTGAAATGGCTTATCTATAAAAACGTATGCGGAGCTTAAAAAAAACAGCTTTGAATAAAATTAATCTGAAAATTAAGTCCCGCTGTTTTAGCTCACAAGAGTATATTAACAAAGTATAACTTAAATTATTGGTATGGGATTTCTCATTAATTTTAAAAATAATTTATGATAAACGAATATATTATAGTACATAACCTTTATATTATTTTGTGTTCAGGTATCCATTTTTTAATTTTCCGTCTAATTATCTGCTTATTTTGCCCGTATGTACTTATCACTCGTAATTATAAAATATGTTTAACATTAAAAATGTTAACAAAAAAAATATCAGTAATTGAAAATTATAGGTTACTGTTACCAAGGTGAAATATTTATTTGCTGATATCAACTTCCAAGTACTTATGTATTATGTATAGTGTAAATACAGTTATGTAAGTTATGATAAAATATTGGCCACATTTACTAAATGTTCGTTGTGCATCTTGTATAAATAATTAGGTTGAATAATTTAGTTTGTCAGGAACGCAGTCTTTAAAACATATATTGAATAAGAGATCAACATTTAAAAAAAAATAAAAAATATAGAAACTCGAATAGTATTATTATTTAAACGTACAACTGCAATTGTTTTTTTTTTAAATTCAGTTTTATCTATTTCAATTACGTACTGCAGTTAATGCTTTGTTTGATTTGAAACAAATATTGTAAATTTCACTAAAAATTAGCCCAAAAAACTGTATGTAAGTTTTTAATTCAATAATAATATACTTTGATGTAAAAAACAAATTAATATGAGTATAATATTAATAAATGTGGCAAAATTTAGTTAACTATAAATAACCATACAAAATGAAAAATAAGCAGTAACTCTATTACTTTTTAATTTATTTATATTTATTTATGCAGGTGATATATGCTGATCTAGATTATAGCAAAAGTAGTAAAATTTTTATCATCTGAATTTTAATTGAATAACACAAAGAAAAACATATACTCTTTACCTTTTAAATACAGTTAAATTAGAATAATATAATTTTAATTCGTGCTTAAAAATATATACTATGCATGTATCATAAATTATTCGATTAATGCAGTAACCGTTGTACATGAAATGTTTGTTATTAACATAAGCCATAATAGAAAAAAATATGTTTAGTTTTTACACTAGTATTTGAATTCTTTTTTAGTGAAAATCAGTCTCTGAATTAGAGACATATTTCTGTAAGAGTAATTTTAATTTCATAAATTGTAATAAACAGATTTTTAATTGAAACTAAAATTTTAATTTTTGTTGAGTTAATAAAAAATATTCATAATAAAATAAATAATCAATTAAAAAAAATTAAAAAATTAAATAAAAATGTTAGAAATTTCGCTAAGCATACGAAGGAGTAAATAAAGTACGTTGGTTTTTGCACTAATAAATCATGTATGACAATAGTATTCGCAAAAAAAAAAAAAAAAATGCTGTGTTTAATAATTTAGTATGAACATTTTTTTTTAAAACTGTGTGTACCTATACAATAATTGCTCAATAAAAAAAGAATATTATTAAATATCAACAAAAAAAGTTCCCAAATCTTAAAATCCTATAATTTATAAATGGCAAAAAAAGGAATGACGTTTTTTCTAATTTTGCGGAAATCGGAAAGGTCGTTTTTGGTGGAAAACAGTGATTTTTTTTTACCGATTAAAAACTGGTTTTTAGTTTAATAAAACTAAAATAGAGAACAGTAAAATCTTTTATTTATAACCTTAAATAAAGGTGTACACAACAAGTAAAAATTATGAATATTTAAAAAAAGTATTATGAATTATAATTATATGATTTTTATCAATATTAGTTAACGACAATTAACCACAGATATGTATAACTAGATAACCAACTTCTGGATCGATGACGCTGGTAGCCATTTGCAACTTTGGCAACATTTACAAATAATAATGTGATAAAAATTAACAATACAAACAATAATTGCCCAACTTAGTGACTACTGACTCTTTTTCAGCTATTATTGTATATTTTGTATAATTAATAATTTAAGATGGTGACCTCATGTAGTGTACATTTGTGCACAAATAGACATTCAACAAATTGAGTTAGAAAAATACACTTTTTCTCGTAGGCAGACTTGGGTAAAATACTTTATAAAAATTGTATTCCGAATACATTATTTAGAATATTTCAAAAGTTTTACGAATACTTTTAAAATACTTCTACTTTTCAAAATATAAAATTAATAGATGTCCACTCAACAGAAATATTTGAAACTGTAGACTAAATATATGTTATTTTCAATATCAAATCAATTGAACCACATTTTGAAATAGGCAGCTACATTCTAGTCCATTAATTTATATTCACTGATTCTTCGATTTAAACTTATATTATTAGTCTTACAGTAAATCGTCCTGAAAATGTACAATGTAAAATGAGTTGAACTTAACTGGTTCATCCAACAATTATGGTTTAATAATGTATAACTTTATAAGTATACTTGTAATAAAATTAAGTTTATGAAAAAATAATTATATTATGAGTATATTATGAAATATTTGTATCACAATGCATGATATCAAAACGATTAATAAATGATAAGAATTTGTAAACATTGCCAAAGTTGCAAATGACGTCGGGCATCATAATTTAATAATGTTGTTGTATATGGGAGTCGGCCGAGTCGGATATTTAGTTATTATATATATATCTGTGCAATCAACACATAGTTTTAGATTATGTAGTCAATCAAACGTATTGCTTCGCAACATGTACCATAAGTTTAATTAAAATACTATTTTCTTTTAATCAAAATTAATATCGATAGCATACAACATATTTTGTCTATATTATACATGAAAACGTTAAATTATTTATATACATTAAAACCGTGGTCAAAAATTTAATAGGCAGTAGATCTTAATTTTTTATTTTATACCAGATATTTACGCCCTGGGTGATGTGTCTTACGCCATTATTTTGCTACATCGGAATATTTTTAACATTTTACGATTATCATCAAAACGCAGCGTTGCCAGAGGGACTATGACATTAGTATTTTAACGTGTACGCACAACGAACGTAACACGTAAATACACTATTAGCCAATCGATTGGTATACAATCGGCACACAACCAAATCTACTGACCCTCTTTCGCGGACTAGTCGCAAGGGGGTCTTCGGACTCGTTCCGTCGGGAGCCCTTGGTGTGTCGTCTCATTCGTATATACAAAGTGCGAAGGCACCGTTGTTGTGTAACGGATCACCGCTTAGTACCCGTATGCCTGTATATGTACCACGTTTGTGCACATTATTCGTGCGATGTACACGCGCGCGGCCTATTACGGATACATTTTGACGCTGCTCGATGTTCAATGCTCGACTAATGATATTTTTAATATTACAATAAATTACGATTAAATTACGATAATATTACCATGAAATTTATCGTCCATTCAAGAAAATCGTATCGCTATAGAGCACGACGACGATAGACAAATAGAAAAATAAAAATATTGTTTACTTCGATACTCCACTGCACGTTAAAACAATAATAATCGTATTCACTTACCGGCAAGTCGATTATATGCTGCAAAGAATGTTTAGCTGCTCCCTTCCTTTGCACACAGAACGCTACGAAATCCTCGTCCAACGCTGATTTTTCACGTAACAACCTGCAAAATAGCGACGATACATTACAATATTATGTATAACCTGAGTTATAGTACAACAAAATATTTGAAATCTTAATATGCTGATTAAAACTTATCATATGTTTTCCGATTAAATGGTTTACATTTCCTAGGGTAAACATTCAGTAGTGAGCTTGAAATAGAAAAAAATTTAAAGCAAATATTTACCAATTATGTTTGTATTCTAAAACTGTCCTAAAAGGCATAATTAGTTATTCTCTGTATTGTAAATATTGAAGACTACTGAAAAAAGTGATGTGATAGTTATTGTGAAGGAAATCTAGAAAATTAATTTTATTGTAGAAAATGCACATTTTTAAATGTTTATATATTTGTGAATACATTATCAATTGTATTCGGTTATTTCATTTGTATTATTAATAAATACAATTTTTATTTGTTGTATATCATTAGTTATATGTCAAAGAAAAACCAAAAGCTTATGAATCGATGTAATTTTAAAACGAAACTTATTTATGATACCGAGTTCAATCGTAAATATTAAGCAATTTTTATTTTTATTAAAAATGTCAATGATTATTCTTAGTTGCGTAAAAAAAATGGAAGACCGGTTTTTCATTTGACAGTATATTTGCATATTATGATGCTAACCAACAGTGGATAAAATAAAACTTGATATTATAAACAATTTTGTTTCATTATAGCATTTAAACGTCTGGTCATCTAGGTAGCTAATTTAAATTCTCATCGTTTTGTCTTTATTTTTTCAATATATGTAATAACAAGATTCGAAACGAAGATTTTACATCGTGTGAGAATTGAAAGTAATATAAATTACACCGTAAAACAACATAATATTAAATAAACTACTGATTAACTTAACTAAATAATTAATTCGTTAACGAGTAATAATCATATTTTATGTTGTTAAACGTATATCAATATATATTTTATATGTCCTGTTATTTTATAATTGTATATTTTAAAAATAGATTAGATTATTTAAACATAAAACGGTAGTAGAACATTTAGTATCAGTTTTAATTTGTCTTAAATATGAAATTATATACTAGAAGAACCCATCAATCAACCCACAACTTCTTAGTAGTGGCTACGATGTAGAAAATATATGTCACATTTATTTAATGCTATAATAGTTGGTATTATAAACAAAGTTAAAGTATTCAAACAATAACAAAATAAGTGGAAAATTTAAATGTGTCATCCCGATGTTATATCCATATAAAGTGTTTTATAGAAATGTATTTAATATAAATAAATATTGGGATATTCAACCCACATTTTTTTTTTTTTTTTGCAGAAATGAATTCTAAATTAAAATATTTTATATATAATTCTACGATTATTGGAAGTAAATTACAGTGACAGCCAAAACTCTTACAGGGTTGCGAAGCTACGAATATAAGAATAATGTCGTACATGTATATCTAACTTATTTTCATTGCCAAAACTATAAGTATCAACCACTCATCAAAATTATGGAAAATTGTAAAAAATTATAAATACAAATTGTAAATAAAAACTCTTTACGCGCTACATGTATCAAACTGTATTTGTAAGAGGAACGTTTAACGAAAACGTCCAACTGTTCTATCCGCCATTTTATGGTAAGTGCTTTTGGTAGTTATGCGCAAGCCGAAGACGTGAGCCGACATCAATAACGCTCACTTGACGACGACATAAACATGCTATTGTTATTAATATATAATTTTAAAGAATCAGAGGTAAATGCAAACATTTACCTTTGACGAAATTTCCGATACTCTATTGAAAACTTGGTCATAAATTTATTTCGTTTGCAATTTGTTTATCGTACCTGTAAGATTACGATGACGTGCGAAATCATATGCTGATGAAAAAAAAATAAAAAATGATTTAATGTCATCAATTTTATTTTTAACTTTTAGAATATTTTTTACATAATGTACTATATTTATATATTTATAATGAACAGGAGCGTCATTGAGGGGGGGCAGACTATGGCAAATGCCCCACTATAAGAAATTTTAAAAAGTCGGCAATTCTTTGTCCGATGATCAAATGCTAAAATCGGTAAATAGTAAATTTTTATTTACTATTTTGTACTCAGATATCAGATAATATTCTCTTTTAAATACATGTTCACGGTTTATTAAAAGTTAGGAAACACTGGCTCCTCCCCAGTTTATGACAATCGTTATTACGTGAACCTTATAAACTTTATTTTTGATATATTATATATTTCTATATATGTGACCTTTTTAAAACAGTTTTCGTGATATCGATACCATAAAAATTGAGCTCATACAGAACAGAACCGATATTAATTCGATAAAAAAGAATTGCTTGCTTATGAATATATCGGTGGATAATCTGATTCAACGATATAAGTTGAGAAGCAAAACAGATTAAATTACACTCTACAAGCTTTTTAAACCAATTCTTACTATATATTACAGAACGTTATTATATTTTTATTTTAAGATAATGTAAAACCTTAGATTTTCTCCAGATTAGTAAGAATATACAATTTATAGTTTTATTCGAAATATATCTAGTATAGATAATCTTGTTAAGATAAATTATTTCATAAATAGCACAAAGTCTATAATAATCAACACAATTATTTTTATTTTAGTTTTTTTGTTTCGTAAGAACATAAGCTATTATTATTTTTTTATTTTTATAGTAACATTTAACGCTGTAATAAAGCACTAGACACATAAATTAAAATTGGTATAGCTGTTTTCTTGATGATAGCTTCCATAATATTAGGTATAATCATGATGTATAATGCTATAAAAAACCCAGGTGTAATTTTAATGTCTAAAATTTGTGTCTAAACTAAAATTATTCTATAAGATAATTAATAACGAACGTTTTCAAATAATTAATAGTTATCATCATCGTTAATAAATAATGATCACAACAATGTATTACACATTTTATGTACAAAAGAATTTTACTATATATAACACTAAAAATTATCTGGTTATTTGTTCATCCGTTTATAAAGGTTAGATTGTAAAATACTTCTAATTTTTTTTTTCGTTCAGTGTTTAATACATTTTTTATTTAAATAAATTATACGTTGATATTTTTAAAACTACAGGTAAATACTTAATATATATTTATAAGATTATAAATGTTGTATATAATAATAAAAAAATATATTGGTCATCAAATGGAAAGCATCTTTTTTAAATATTTTATTGTACATTTAACTGCATACATAAACAATTTATAATCAATAACGAAATCTCAAGATCGATGTATACAAAATAAACTGGAGATTTTTTTTATAGCTTATTCGAATTAATTCAACGATTTTTTTTTCACCTTGCTGTGAAACAATATTTTACCATGCATTCTTAAATATTGAAAGCAGTAAGTAATTATTTTATAAAAAATGTTTTTTCTGAATAAAATTAGGGTTAACTAAAAATATTATTAAAAAAAAAACTGTGCTCATTTATAAAATATTATTTTCAATTTCTCAAATAAATTTTATAATACCGAATGATTAAAAAATATGAGGATTTTTACACCATAAATTAATGATTTTACTAAAGGCTAGAAACCCAGACAAAAATGGACAAATGTAGAATTTTAAATTTATAACATGAAATTAATTCTTTAAGATTTAAAAAAATATTATGATTATATGTGAATATTTATGAGTAGTTTACTTACTAATGGATAACTGAATTTTGTGTTTATAGACATGGATATATATCAGATGACAGCAGTATTTTCGATATCAATGGTCATATTATTAAACTTAACTTTATCTAAAGAATTAAATTCATTGTATGAAGACAATGCGATAATGTCTAATAATAAACTTAAAAAAATAATATTTACCCTACAAGATAAAATCATTGAAATATACGTCGACGTAAAAAATTTAAACTTGGCTCCTATTTTTCCTACTTCCACTTGTGCGCCTTGTGAACCTATAAAATATTGTGAATGTGGTGATGCATGGTGTACAATAGATCGAATAGTTGGAACAAATATCAATAAATGTAATAAAAATAGTAGTGGTATTCTACATTTACTTCATGACGCATCGTCCTATGGATTGGGTGAAATAAAACAAATTGGAAAATATGTAAAAAATGGATTATTAACAACTGGAAAACTAATAAAAAAAGGTTTTTTTAAATTTGTAAATATAGTTAAAAAAGTTACACCTCGACTACCAAATTTCATTTTAAAACCTATAACTGCCGTAACAAATGCCGTTTCAAGAGTTGGAAAACATGTAACAAATGCAATATCAAACGTTGGAAGTCATGTAACAAATGCAATTTCAAACGTTGGAAGTCATGTAACAAATGTAATTTCAAACGTTGGAAGTCACGTAACAAATGCAATTTCAAGCATTGGACATTTTATAGGTCTGTAGAGGTATAAAAAATGTATTTACATTTAACTGTTTATTTATTATTTAGTTTATTTACCTAATTATTATATAACTAATTAACAAAAAAAAAAAAAAAAAAAATGGAAAAATAATGTTTATTCTAAGTTTGGTCAACCTTTGTTGTTTATTTATTTACATTTAACTATTTAATTATTATTTATTTTATTTACCTAATTATTATATAGTTATTATATATTATTATATTATACTATTTAGTTTATATATAATTATTATTAAACTAAACCTATAAAATGTCCAATGCTTTAAATTGCATTTGTAACATGATTTCCAACGTTTGAAATGGCATTTGCTACGTGACTTCCAACGTTCTAATATAGTATAACGTTCTAATAAATATTTAGAGTATATCCACAACTAATGAACAATTAATTATATAATATTTAGGTACATAAACTAAATAATAAATAAATAAACAACAAAGGTTGACCAAACTGATAATAAAAATTATTTTTTCGTTTATTTTTTTTTTTTCATAAAAACATGATAATTGGACTATTGATAAATAAGTGCACGTTTTTAACTCAAAATCAGCGGCGGATTGGCTAAACATTTTGGTCCGGAAAATTACCGT